CCCCAGCGACTTAAGACTGCTTTTGTGCTCCAGGGTCACATATCGGCTATAAGCCAAAAGTATTTGAAAAATATCGGCATATTGGATATTGGCAAAAATCTAATATCATGCATCCTAGTGTGGCCGTTTTTAATAATGTCAGGCTAAATTATGCTGAAGTCATGCTTAAAGGAAAGCTGCAGAGAATTACTCATGCTAAACACAGAGGCTTTTTATAATGCACAGCTGTCATTCACTCATCAAAGGACCTTTTCTGCGCATCTTTAAAGTAATTACCTGATCTTCGATGGACTTATGATCTGTCTCCTGAAGCCACGAGCCCATCAGCACGCTGTCGTCGTAATGACAGAGCGAGCGCAGCAGAGATGTGGTGGTGTTGGCCGAGTTATCTGTGAGCGTGAACTCTGCCACCAGCTCCCTCAGAAGAGCGTTAAAACTGCCTGTCAACCGTCAGAAAACCAGAACTCATGATCAGCTCTCACGTCATCAGCGCTGACAGCAGCAGAACAGAGACTTGCCTTCGTATGTCTTGGGCGGCAGCAGGGCCAGTATGTCGTAGAGCCGCAGTCGGACCATGGCAGCGCTGGCCTTCAGATGAGCTCCATGAACCTTGATCACTGCAGGAACACTGCACACCAAAATATCACGTCACTACACAAAAGACAGACCTCTGGAAAATGGAATGCGTTTTGTGCATTTTATCAGAACTGTGTGAAAAGACAAAAACACAACCTACCAAACACAGCAGAACATGAGATCATTTTGGTTTTTAAGATACAGGTTTATATTATTGTGCAAAGACTGCAAAGGCCGACTTTTAAAAATCTGTTTTGAACATGATACAGCACGCTCTATCCAGGCATTATATGAAAGGGCCATTTCCACCATGGAATAAAAACAATATATGACAAAAAAATTTGAGTTTATGAGTTCTGAGTTTAAATCTGTGAATCTTTTTTCTCTCTCAGAATTGTGAATTCTCAGAATCTGGGCCTGTTGGCCTGCCTAATTTCAAAAGGGTCTGTCTGGATCAAGAAATTAATTTTGTGAACCAAGTATTTGTTTTGTGAGTGCATTGATATGAATACGAAATGGAACATACCAAGACATTTATTTAATGCAATATCCATTTTGTGTAAACTGATTAAAAAAAAAAAGTTTTGAATTATGAGATACAAAAAAAACATTCTTGGAATTGCAAAAAAATAAAGTCAGAATTGTGTTAATTAATAACATAGCGTTATAAGTCTTTCAAACCAAAAACTCAGTGATACAGTAAAATAGACCAGTTTTAAACTGATGAATAAACACTGTGTCCAAACAAGGTTCAGTGCAAGTAACATAGTTCACCGGTTTCATAACATGCTCAAATATGTCATCAAATGACTACAAACACAGATGCTTTGGATCAGTTTCATAATTAAATGAGTATGACAAGCCAAATAAAAGGTGACATCACTGTAAATAGTTCAGATCAGTTGCTTTTTTAGTTTGAGTCACCTGACGAAAACAGGAGGATATCAAGCACCAAGCACTTCTCAGGCCCAATCATTTCAACAGAAACAGTGCATAAATACAGTGTAGTGTCCCACTCACTGAGACATCATGGTCATGGCGCACTCGATGGGCGTCATCAGCCTGCGGATCACGTCCTCCGTCAGCAGCTCTGGACAATGTGCCACGAAACTGCGCATGGCTGCGAGGAACAAGCAACATGAGCTTTTCACAATGCATACTGAATAATACAGCAGAGAGCGAGACGGAGGGATGAATTCAGGTGTTTTACCGCACAGGGCGCCGGCGCGACCCTCCAGCATCACCTGCCAGCTGAAGGAGTCTCCTCTGGCCTTCTCGGCCTCCAGCTCCTTCTGAGAGCGAGGAAACACGTTACGCCACAGCAGCAGCATCTTCGGCAGGTGGTAGCGCACTAAAGACGGTCCTGAGAGGACGAAACATCAGAGGGGCTCGTTTCACTGCCGTGTTTCTGGCCCGAGTCTGTGAGAGGTCACGTGCTTGATGCACTCACCTAAGGTCATGAGGGCTCCTAGCAGCAGCCAGCCCGCTTGAGTGCGCTGGAGAGACAGCCGGCTGTTCTGGGCTGCAGAGCGCAGCAGATCTTCAGCTATACTCACCACCATCTGAAAGACATCCAAGCTGTGATACACTACTGGATTCTGACACAGGTGTAGCTCTTCAGGAATCTGCAACAGTGGCTTGAATTTCTGCAGTGCTTTCATTTTTTTAAAAGCATTTTCAGCTTTTTTGTGACACTTACGATAAAAACAGTTTCTACTACTGCACCTTTAAAGGAAAGTTCCATGCCGTCTTGTCATTATTTTGACTTGT